CTTTCCCATACTTGAAAAAACAACATATAGCACAAACCTTTCATTACACTGGAACACTTTCAACCTGGTCTGTTTTAATGACACAGATGTGACTACCAATTTCTTTTCCCTGAAGTAAAAAGTCTCAGCATTATTTATAGCATGAATGGTAGGATCTTAAGGATTGTCTTCTTACTTGCCCATTAAAAATCAAAATAAAGACAAAAGATAGTTGTTGGGGAAAACAACATATAAATCAAAGCCAATATGTGACAACTACAGTTCATCTTCTCTACTACCAAATGATGTACCAGAAAATAACCTAAAGGAAATGAAATCTAACAGTAACTTCTCCATGAAATCTGGGATTTCTCAATTTACTAAAAAGCAGTCAAATTACCTAGACTTTGGGCCTCAAAACAGGATGTTATGGAAGTCCTGGATTATCCTCTTCTTGATGAGGTAATCCTTCTTTCAGTTTCAACAGGCTGTACCATGACTACTTAGAGCAGCAGCTGAGGAAGACCAAGACTTGCTCATGCACAGCTGAGGTTCCAAGAGAACTGGCCCCATAACTCCTCCATGTTTTGGTGGTGCTACTGTCCTCCAAAGTTAGGGGCTTGGGTGATGCGGGTCAGGACACAGCAGTAGTGAAGTGTACATCACTATCAAATCCCCACATACATTACTAGATTTCACTCCATTGCAATCATATTATTGGGAGCAAAAAACAGGTTCTGATGAAACATCAAAGATGTCAAAGACTGAAAGCAAGGCCCGTAAACCAGATCAGCTATAACAAGCATATTTGGTTATCTCATGCTTTCTGTTCGACACTCTCTTAGCCATGTTTTAGTCATACTGTACCTACAGCTGAACTAGAGGCTGCTGTTGATGATTAGAATTACACTGTTAATCAGGTGGTCATAGTTTTCCATATAGCCCACCCTTCCTTAAAGAGTCCATAAACTCTAAAATAACTATATTTAGATGGTTTTGCCAAGATTTTTTTTATTTCCGCAGTTGTCAAATCTTAACAGGAAAAAACAACTAGTAGCTTATGGTATTCACTCTGGTTTCTGTGCCAAGCTACACTACAGCCTTGATAACTTTTCTGAATCCTTCACCTTCAAGAGTATTTCAGTTAGTGCCATGGAAGAATTTACTTTTTCCCTGCCACCAAAAAAGAATCTTTCACTCCAGTTCCATTGTAAGAATCAGAAAGGAATTTTCTTAAAATTGATGAAAATGTCAAACCATATGCACCAGAAATCACTATCATCACCATTATAACTTGAGACTGGCAATAATGGAACAGAAGACCAGGACACTAAAGACACTCAGGCAGGACAAAAAAAAAGCCACCAAAAAACCAACCAACCAAAGAAACCCCAACCTCTGTGGTTAAAGTAGAGGACTGGGAGAACTGTCAGGACTGAAGTCTGAAGAAACATCTTCTGACTGGGAGGCTAAGGTCAAGAGCCTTGAAGGTGGTTTAGAGCATTTGTGGTAGAAAACAGAAGCAGTGAATAGTTAGTGGGATTTACTGGAAGCTCCAGTGACCTTTGGTGTTCAAGGAGGGTTTCAGGAGGTAAGCAAGTTTAGGAGGGCTGTGGATACCAAAAGTCAGCAGCTTAGTTTAGCTATCCAGTGGAGGAGGTTTCCAAGCACCTGAAGATAGGAACTGTAGGAGGGAGAGGTTAGATGTTGTATGAGAGGTTGTGGGAAATATTTTAGGTCACCTCCAATCCTACAATGTCTCTTCATCCTCAGAAGGGGGTCTCCAAAACAACTATCTGTTCTTCCTCTCCCACAGGAAAAGATCCTGTGCATCCATATGAATCTTCACAGTTACTGTCAAACAAGTAGCAAGGGCTAGGGCTCTTCTGTCCAGCGCACAGAAGAAAGGACAAGGCAAGGCAGAACTGGGGAGCACACTGGTGATTTTGGCTCCTGGAAGATGGAGGAAATAACTGGCGAGACTGGGAGAGGCTGCTCTTCAGTAGCAGCAATGCATGTTGACAACCCATAGCAGCAGTCAACCAGAAACTCAAGCGGAAGGTAGATTGTGCAGACACACTCCAGCTCCTTCAGCAACGCAGGAAGACTGCCATAGGGAGGGAAGCTGGGTGGGTTTTTGTACCTTCCTTTGAATACAGACCGTACTGGGTTGCAGCCCTGGGCAACTGCTTGCTTTAGATATGCTGGTCTCCCCCAACCTCTCATACAACATCTGTGGCAACAGAAGATCAGTACAGCAGCAAAGAAGTATTGGCCAGTGTAACAGGCTTCTGAGAAGGATTGATGCCTAGATGTCACCAAGTTTTTGAAAGTAAATCAACAAACATTCTTTTAGTGTTTTTTCTTGATTCTCAACTGATACAAATACAACCTGAAAGGACAGGTAAGGCCACCAGTACTTTGAGAAGGTCATTGGTTGTATTTAACTTGTCATTTAACAATAAAAGCTTTCAAATAAGATTTTGGTTATTTAAAGGTAACCAACTACCATTATTAAAACTACAGCAATTCTGCCAAAACACCAGTGTTCCACACAGCCACGCACACATCTGCAAATGAAGACTATGTTCCTACAAATCACTGTTTAATGCATTGTGCTTAACAGATGGCTTGCCGTGCTCCTGCCTAGGGCTGGGAGAGAAAGTGCCCTGCGGAATGAAGGCGCTGGAATGAAGGACAGCAAGTCCCAGCCACGCCGGGGGCCGGCTGCTTGAAGAAAACAGGGGAGAACAGACCACTCAGCACCCCAAAAACTCGGGTGACAGTGGCACGCCCCACGCAAACACCCCCCGCTCGGGCCACGGCCAGCCCGCCGGCGCATCCAGGACCGGGAAAAGTGATTACTCACGGCGCCGGAGAGCAGGGCAGCGGG